GGACATTCCCCTCCCTGGTCTGGCTGGTGATGCTTTGCCTGATGCCCCCCAGGACACAGCTGGCCCTCCTGGCTGCCAGGGCACTGCTGACTCATATTCAACTTTCCCTAAATCAGGATCCCCATGTCCCTTTCCTGGCACTGCTTTCCAGCATCTCATTCTCCAGTCTACCCGTACATCTGGGGTTGCCCCATTCCAGGTGCAGAATCCAGCACTTCCCCTTGTTGAACTTCACATGGTTGGTGATTGCCCAGCACTCTCCTTTGTCATGGTCTCTCTACAGGGCCTCCCTGCCTTCCAGGGAGTCAACAGTTTCTCCCAGTTTTGTGTCATCTGCACACTATGGAGTACTGAGGAAACAGTAAGGTCACCTTTAACTACACATAGTTCAGGAAGAGTTCACAGGTGCTTAATGTATGTTGTAAAACATGCTTAGTCAAGAGAGCATCTCATCCAAGTGATTGTGTCGTCCTGTATCTGATCTGAGTCAGGTCAAATGAAAGATAGAACAAACAAATAAGAAAACCAGAGTAGGATAACCCTCTTCTTCCCCCGGTATTATTCATTAGATAACTAAGACTTTGCATTTAGATAATCTGTGAGCAAGTTGTTCATTTTCAGGGAAGGAGAGGGATGGGGGGGCAGTGGTGTGTGCACATTCAATTTCTGTGAAGTGCACATCGTGATTAGAGTGAATGATTAGGATGGTGAGTAATACAGTGAGTCTTTCCCCTCCTCCTCCCGTGGGCAGCTTCAGACAGAGCAGACCTGTCTTTACAGAGCCCTTCTACAGTCAATGAAAAGAGGGAGGCTCCTTCAGCGGCTGACACAGCCCACCCCCTCAGTCTTGAAAGGCACACTGAGGCAACTTCTCTTTTTTTCCCTCAACCGTGAAGCAATAATCTCATCCTGTAACTCACAGATACTTCTAAGGGTGCTGCAAGGTGTATCTAAGAGCAGCAAACCTTTTAACAGGATATTTGAATTCAGTTTACAGGATTTTGCACCTGCAGTGAAATGTTGTTAAGGACTGCAACTGAAAGAAATTGAAAACCACTGCTCTAGATGCAGCCTAATAAGATTGTCCTTATGGATCTAAAGTTAGCTACTGTGAAAAAGCCTTATAAACAGTTTTCCATTATCAAAGCTGTGCAAACAGAAGATTTAGTCCACTGAATTAACTCTGTTAGGGGAAACCTAACAGCAGCCTGACGCACTCACATAGCAGTTCTAGGATTCTCTCATAGTTACCAACTCCTTACTTTATGCTCTGATTTCTGCTTATTACCCTGCTCTGCTTTGGAACATTGCCTCTCTCCTTTTATTTTCCCTCTCAAAAGGATTCTTTGCTGCCATCTACTTGGCACAGTCAATTACAGCAGCACAAAACAGAATAGCAGCATCTAACCTTTGCTTGAATAAGGTGCAAAGCAACGTTATTTCCCTCAGTTATTTTTCTTTTCTTGAACCCTTTTAAATTACACTCAAATTCACTCAGCAGAACACTGCTGCTAAATGGTTCATCAAAAGCAGTTTTGGATAGTGCTGGAGCAGGGCACACCTCCGCTGAAATGATCTTTAGTTGCTTCGTGCATTTTGGTTTGGGGAGATTTATTTTCCATTTTGCTGTGTTGTGTTTTCAAATTTAATTTATTGATAACGCAGGAGAGCATCTGTGCGTGTCCACAGCTCTATTTCTCCTTAAAGCTAAGGAGGATTTATCAGAGGGGTTAATTCACCATATTCACCAGCACAGGGGAGTGCAGCCACAGTGTATGCAAGGGATTCACCAATGAACTACTTTCTCCATCATAGGGCCCTGAGGGTGCACCCAGGAAATGCTAATGAGGGATGAGAAGGGTGGAACAACTCCCTTAGTCTATCTGGTTACCTCAGTCCCAGCCCAGACAGATCACTACCTTTCCAGCTCACTCATCCATCAGCAGCACAGCTGGCTCTACCAGATCTTTTAGTGAGGTCCAATTAAACAAAATACATTATTCGAGGAAACAAAAGCACCTTTCCCCTGCTGAGTCTGCTTGCAACACCCCAAGCATGTCACAACAGCCCTGTGTGGTGGTTGTGGCTTCTTCTATGGACACAAGAGGATGAATGAAATGCAGTGTTTCAGAGGGACCATCCGCCCATCCAACCAACCAATGAAAACCAACCCGAAATTAAAAAAGGAGCTGATCATGCTAAATATCTTATTAACTAACTCATGTTGTTTTACCTGGGATGAAAAGCTTGGGCAGTAACAGTTAATCTGATGCGGTTGATGGGCAGGGGTGGTGAGAGAAGAGGTTGTGCATCCCCCAGGTTATACCAGTAGAACAGAGAGAGCTGACATACCTTTTCACACACATATTTTGTAACTACCTTTCCCAGTCGGACTGGAAGTTTAAGCACAGGGCAACGAAAAGCTAGGAACAGGCATTTCCCTCAGAAAAGAAAGCCTGAAACCTTTGACTGTTACATGAAGATTTTGGGCCAACCTAGGCACTCCATGGGCAGCAAGACCTTTCTGTCCTGGCACCTTTGGTGTGGGAGGAAACTTTGTTCCTTTGGAATTTTGGGATTGGGACTGACAGTGTCAGCAAAGGGCTGAAAAAAGCCAACAATAGCCCTTCTACCCAAGAAAGAAAACCTGGAACCTTTGGCTTTCTGGTGCAGTTTGTGGGCCAGCCTGGGCACTCCATGGGCAGGAAGAGCTTTCTGGTGTGGCACCTTTGGTGTGGGAGGAAGCTTGGTCCGTATTGAATTTTGGGATTGGGACTGGCAGTGTCAGCGCAGGGCTGAAAAAAGCAAACAACAACCCTTCTCCCCAGGAAAAAAAGCCTAGAACCTTTGGCTTTCTGGTGCAGTTTGTGGGCCAGCCTGGGCACTCCATGGGCAGGAGGAATTTTCTGGTGTGGCACCTTTTGTCTGGCAGGAATTTTAAACAGGAGCCAGGACTAAAAGAGTTAACTGAGATATCTTGGCCTGCTAAGAAACCGCAATACCTGTTTTGCTAGAAGAACATTTTAGGAGCACTGGTTAATGTCACGTTCTGTTCTGCTAACTGGACCAAAGGCCTTATTAGAGAAAGAATAGGAGTAGTACACACACAGTAATAAATTAGATAAACTCGACTTTTGAATAAGATATAGAAAGCCCAGAGCCAGGATTTTGCAAGCTTGAAGAATTCAGGTCACCTAATTAAAGAAGTCAAATTGCAGAAAACATGGAGACCACCAGACGGATGAAGGCTTGAGGAGAATACACCTACATTAGAAGAATGCTCATGTCTGGAAACACTCCGCCCAGAGACTAGACTACATATTAATATGTATACTAAATGAGGTAACCATGTATCTAAAGTGTATAAAATGGCTTACTTTTCCACATGCAAGTCTAGCAAGTTTGTCCAGCGCAAGCTGGATTTCTCACAAGGTTGAATAAGCAAATACATTGCTGGTTAAAGATAAAAAAGTCTGTGAGCCCTCACCTACAGCTGTCTCAGCACACCGGCCCTCTCTCTTCAGGGAAGCACTCCAGGCTCTGGGCAGGGCGTTCCGCTGGCCCTGCCTGGCGGGATGGGATGGCGGCTCCCAAGCTGTGGTGGTGACCATGCGGGGCTGGGCCTGTGAGTGGGGGGATCCCAGCCAGCAGTGCCGGAGGGGGCTGAGCAAGTCAAGTGTGTCCGTGTGGGGAATGGAGAGGTGGAATGGCAGGAGGGTGAAAGGATGCCCTGCCCCAAAGCAGCCCCTTGGAGCCTCCTTGGCAGGCTCTTGGAGCTGCTGCCTGGAGCAGCTGGAAGTGCGAAGCAGCCCGGGAGCACTGCCCCACAGCACAGCCCGCGCAGCCCCTAAGCCAGTCTGAGAATGGCTGGCACCCTGGAAGCGCTGCCTGAGGGGCGGCAGTGGCCACAGGAGGCCAGAGCAAAGAAAAACAGCACCAGGCGGCCCTTTGGTGCTGGTGGCTCTGCCCTCTGGGGATTCTTGTTAGGTGGATCTCCCCTGGATCTAGGAGTGCTAGCTAGGATGTTCTACCCTCTGGTTACTTTGTTTCCATCTGCATGCCGCTAGAGCTGTCCCAAAGGGGAAGAAAACCCACAGCCAAGCTGGAGCACTGGGCAGGAGGGGAGCTGAGTTTCCTTCCAGCGCCAGGCATGGGCAGAGCCGTGGCACCTTCAACGGTGCAGCCCCACAGTCAATGGCCCAGTTCTCCCATGAGAAGCCCTCCCATCTGGGCAAAGGCTCTGACTCCACCCAACTTTTCCTGCTGGACCTCCAGGCCGTCGCCAAGGCCATTGGAAGCTCGCAGTGGGCAGCGGGCAGGGGCAGCAGTGGAGGCAGTGCTGCCAGTGGCCCAGAGCCCCCAGGATGGGGCCTGATCGCAGTGGCTCTGGGACATCTCCAGCCTCCTAGAGCTGTACCAAGGGCAAGAAATCTCCGAGCAAGCGGTGTGCCACGGGGAAGAAAGAAGGAGAAAAAGCTGTCCCAGGAAAGCAGGAAAGCCAGCCAAGGGCACGCTGTCTGGGTTGGGCCCTTGTAGCCGTCAGTGTTGCTGAAGCCCCGCACTGGTTGCCAGGAGGGGCCCAGTTCCCCCAGCAGTGTGGGCAGAGAGGCTGAGCTGCACAGCACGTGTCCTGCCCCCGCAAGTCCCCAGGACCGCCCTGTTGTCCCAAAGCGGGTTCTTTCCCGCTGAGTGCAAGAGGCCGATCCACACACACACGGTCGAGGGGTTTGCTTTATTGCCAGCTGTGCACAGAAGGGCGTGCTGGTTGGCAATCCCGAAACCTTAGCAAGGCAATTCGAGCCACAAGTGCCTTGTCTGTCGGAGCCTGGGACATCCCGCGGCCACGGCTGGCTGCCCAGGGCGGTGGCAGCGCCAGCTGCGGGATGCAGACAGGGCTGAACCGCGGGGAGGCCGCGGGCAGCGGGGCCGTGCAGGAGCTGTTGGCTGGGGCCGGCTGGAGCGTCTGGGAGGGGAAAGCGAGGGAGCCTTGTGCCGGGCACAGCCGGTTGCAAGTAGTTGCAGCCAGCCGCGGCCAGTTGTGTGCCCCCTGCGCTGCTGTCCTCGGGGCGCCGGGAAATGGCCCATTGTGACAGCGGCGGCGCGTTGCCGGGCCCTTTGTGATGCGGGGCCTCCTTGGGCCCGCGGGCCACTGTGACAGCGCGGGGCCCCGCCCTGCCCGGGAGGCTATTTAAGGAGGGCAGAGCCCTGCAGTACCCTCTTTCTCCCAGGAGAGCATCTGTCTCAGGAGGCAGCATCTCTCTCGGGGACCTCAGCGGCAGAGGAAGTAGCCGACGCGGAAGATGTGGACGACGAAGAAGTCCACCAACTTGCAGCCACGCAAGTGGCTGTCGAGCTGGCAGAGGAAGCACAAGGTGAAGGATGGGGGAGCAGGGAGCTGCCTTGGGGCCAGGGCTGGGCTTGTGGGCACGGAGAGGCCTGCCGTGCCATGGCAACCGCCTCCCTCTCACAGCGCCTTCTCCTCCTCCTCCTCGCCGCAGGTGGACAACTGGCAGACGCAGGCAGCAGCGCAGGAAGAGGAGAAGAGCGCCTCTTCTGCTGCTGCCGTGGCTGAGCAGGTGAGAGCAGCAGGGGCAGAGAGCCAGGCAGCTGGCCCACGCAGCCCCAGAGGCGGCGGCCGCGCTGTGCTGGGCACCCTGCAGCGCGTGGCACGCGCCGCCCGCAGCAGGCTCGCGGTTGGGATGCGGCGACGTGGCCAGAAGCCGGAGCCACAGAGGGAGGTGGAACAAGGTAGGGAGGCAGCCAGAGCAGGAACATCCGCAGCAGCAGGGTCAGAGAGGCAGGACTCTGCCCTGCAAAGCCCCTGCTGTCCCCCCAGCCCCTTCCCAAGCCATCTGGAAGCCCTCAGTGGGCAGTGGGCCGGGGCAGCAGCGGGGGCAGTGCTGCCAGTGGCAGAGAGGGAGGACCAGGCCTGCTCCGAGGACGAGAGCCTCTGGGACATCTCCAGCCTCTTCGAGCTGTCAACGGGGGATGAAAGCCCAGAGGAAAGCTGGAGCAGTGGGCAAGAATGTAGCTCAGTGTCCCTCCCGTGCCAGGCATGGGCAGAGCCCGGGAGCTCTCAAGCAGGCACAACCACAGTGCAGGGCCCAGGGGTCAGTCTCACAAGCCCTTACACCAGGGCAAAGACCCCCACCCCGGACGGCTTTCCAGACCGCTGCGCCCTCAGCCCCTTGCCAAGTGACCTGGAAGCTCTCAGTGGGCAGTGGGCAGGGACAGCAGCCAAGGCCGTCCTGCCAGTGGCACCGACCGAGGATGGGGCCTGCTCCGAGGAGCTCTCAGACATCTGCAGCCTCCTAGAGCTGCCCCAAGAAGAACGCAGCGGAGACCAAAGGTGGAGGAGGAGAGAAAAGAGGCTCCCCGTGCCCATGCCACGGGAGGCATGGTCAGAGCCCTGGGGCCTTCAAGCGCCCACAGCGACAGCCCGTGCCCCAGTTCGTGGCAGCAGCAGCCCTTCCACCAGGCCACAGGCCCCGAGCCCGGACGCCTGCCCCCCCAGCCCCTCGCCAAGCCAGCTGTCAGCTCCCAGTGGGCAGTGGGCAGGGCTCCCGCACGTCTCCAGGGAGTCCCGAGGGCAAGAAAACGCAGACCCACCGCTGTGCCCGGAAGAAGACAGCCACGAGGAGGAGCTGTCAGAGAACAAAGGGCAAGGCGTCCAAATATACACCATCTGGGTCAAGCCCTCCTTCATACCGGTGCTGCTGGAGCCTCAGCCTGCTGGCCAGGAAGGGCCCAAATGTCCCTGCGTCATCTGCGCAGAGGCGGCCCAAGAGGCAGTCGGGGACCCGCGCGGCACATCTCCCGCCCCGGCGGGTCCCAGGCACAGCCGGGCAACGGCTGCTGCCCCGCAGCGCCCCACAGGCTGCTGCCCCGCCGTGCTGGACACGCTGCAGCGCACGGCACGTGCCACCCTGAGCAGGATCGCAGCTGTGATCCGGCGACGGGGCCGGCGGCCGGGGGACCAGCGGCACCCGGCTCAAGGCATGGACGCGGCCATGCTGGCAACAGCCCCAGCGGCAGGGGCAGAGAGCCAGGCAGCTGCCCTGCGCAGCCCCTGCCGCCCCCCCAGCCTCTCGCCCAGCCAGCTGGAAGCTCGCAGGGGGCAGTGGGCAGGGGCAGCAGCAGAGACGGTCCTGCCCCTGCCACAGAGCCAGGAGGGGGCCTGCTCTGAGGATGAGAGTCTCTGGGACATCTCCAGCCTCTTAGAGCGCTGCCAAGGGCAAGAAAACACAGCCCGAAGCCGGAGTACTGGCGGAGCAAGTAGCTCTGGGTCCCTCCCGTCTGAGGAGTGGGCAGAGCCCTGGGACTCTTCCTCAGCCACATCCACCTCCACCTCCACGGACTGAGCTGCTGGGGGCAGTTTGGGACGTGGCCTTACCACCTGCAGCTGCACTTGAAGGAGGAAGGCCTTTTTCCAACGAGACAAAGCCCAAAGAAGAACTTCGGGCAACTGCAGGCCGTCAGGGGGGCCACTTGCTGGGAGGACGACTTGCTGGCGTGGGACAGACAGTCTTTGGAGCGCTGGCGAGTCGAGCCCTCACCTACAGCTCTCTCAGCACAGCGGCCCTCTCTCTTCAGGGAGGCACTCCGGGCTCTGGGCAGGGCGTTCCGCTGGCCCTGCCTGGCGGGATGGGATGGCGGCTCCCAAGCTGTGGCGGTGACCAGACTGACATCCACCTGATGGCCGGTCACCAGTGGTGTCGCCCAGGGCTCAGTGGTGGGGCCAGTCCTGCTGGTCTCTTGGCTTGGATTGCCCTTTGCCCAGTCCTCCAGGACTTCACCTGACTGCCACCATTTCTCCAAAACCATGGGCAGTGGACTAGCCCCTTTGTCTGCCAGCTCCCTCAGGACCTGGGGATGAACCTCAGCGGGTGCCTTGTGCACATTCAGGTTCCTCACACGCTCTCCAACCTGATCCTCTGCTGCAGGGGACTTGGGCTCTTCTTCTGCCAGTCCCTGCCTTTGCCTTTCTCCACCTGGGCGGCGTGGCTGGAGCGCTTGCTGTCCAAGGCTGAAGCACAGAAGGCATCGAGAGCCTCAGCCTTCTCTTTGTGCCGGACAGCCACGTCTGCCAGTTCCTTCTGGAGAGGGCCCACCTTATCCCCAGTCCGTCTTTAGCAAGATAGCTGTAGAGGCCCTTCCTGTTCTCCTGAAGAGCTCCGGCCAGACTCAAGTCGAGCTGGGCCTTGGCTTTCCCACCCTTGTCCCCAGCTTCCCTACCCTTGTCCCCATCCTCCCAGGCCACCTGTCCTTGTTTCCATTCCCCGAAATAGGAAGAAGTCCCCTTAAGTTCTTTAGGTTAAAGTAGGGGTAGGGAAGAATTAGTCGAGTTAAGTTGCGTAGGATAAAGTAGGGCTAGGTGTTAGCAGTGCTCTCCACTGGAATTTCAGAGGACAAGCTAAAGGCCGCCTCATGCTTTCTAGTCCCGTTTCATGACCAAAATGACAAAGGGTGCTTTAGCATGGGCGCTGACCTAGGAGAGCCTAGTATTTAAGATAGACTTGTGGAAGTTTAAAATAAAGATTGGTTTGGAAAGAAAAGGGTCAGGAAGCTTGTGTTTTGAAAGCGGATAATATTTCGGGGTTGGGCTAGGACTTGTTCCTTAGGCAGCTGAGCTGTGTCCCTTGGCGCGGCTGGGTGCAATAGAGCTGTCCCGGAGGCTGAAGGCGGCAGAGGGACGTCTGTAAGCAGAGCTGGGGAGCAGCCAGCGAGTGGGTCTTCCCTTCTCGGAAGTAGAAGTTAGTTTTTCAGGATCTCCCGAAGTTCGTGTGTTGCTGCCCTCCATTTTAGAAGGAGGAGTTCTTGGAAGCCGTGTCTTGCGGGGCTGGGCCGCTGCTAAAGGACAACAGAATATGTAGATGCCTTTCTTGAAATAAAACTAGTGGTTTGATCCACAAGCAGCGCTGGTGGTTCTTTTGGTCAGGCTGTAGTCCTTGATTTGGGGGCAAGAAAGCCTCCTGAAGACCCAAACCGTTGAGTTGCTGGGGCCGGCGTGCGTTGGGTGGGGCGAAGGAGAAGGGCGCTGCCTGGGGCGGGAGGGATGCGTGGACGAGAGGGGGAAGTCCTGCTGCGGGCTGGGGCAGAGTGGCCCCGCGGGGCTGGGCCTGTGAGTGGGGGGATCCCGGCCGGCGGTGCCGGAGGGGGCTGAGCAAGTCAAGTGTGTCCGTGTGGGGAATGGAGAGGTGGAATGGCAGGAGGGTGAAAGGATGCCCTGCCCCAAAGCAGCCCCTTGGAGCCTCCTTGGCAGGCTCTTGGAGCTGCTGCCTGGAGCAGCTGGAAGTGCGAAGCAGCCCGGGAGCACTGCCCCACAGCACAGCCCGCGCAGCCCCTAAGCCAGTCTGAGAATGGCTGGCACCCTGGAAGCGCTGCCTGAGGGGCGGCAGTGGCCACAGGAGGCCAGAGCAAAGAAAAACAGCACCAGGCGGCCCTTTGGTGCTGGTGGCTCTGCCCTCTGGGGATTCTTGTTAGGTGGATCTCCCCTGGATCTAGGAGTGCTAGCTAGGATGTTCTACCCTCTGGTTACTTTGTTTCCATCTGCATGCCGCTAGAGCTGTCCCAAAGGGGAAGAAAACCCACAGCCAAGCTGGAGCACTGGGCAGGAGGGGAGCTGAGTTTCCTTCCAGCGCCAGGCATGGGCAGAGCCGTGGCACCTTCAACGGTGCAGCCCCACAGTCAATGGCCCAGTTCTCCCATGAGAAGCCCTCCCATCTGGGCAAAGGCTCTGACTCCACCCAACTTTTCCTGCTGGACCTCCAGGCCGTCGCCAAGGCCATTGGAAGCTCGCAGTGGGCAGCGGGCAGGGGCAGCAGTGGAGGCAGTGCTGCCAGTGGCCCAGAGCCCCCAGGATGGGGCCTGATCGCAGTGGCTCTGGGACATCTCCAGCCTCCTAGAGCTGTACCAAGGGCAAGAAATCTCCGAGCAAGCGGTGTGCCACGGGGAAGAAAGAAGGAGAAAAAGCTGTCCCAGGAAAGCAGGAAAGCCAGCCAAGGGCACGCTGTCTGGGTTGGGCCCTTGTAGCCGTCAGTGTTGCTGAAGCCCCGCACTGGTTGCCAGGAGGGGCCCAGTTCCCCCAGCAGTGTGGGCAGAGAGGCTGAGCTGCACAGCACGTGTCCTGCCCCCGCAAGTCCCCAGGACCGCCCTGTTGTCCCAAAGCGGGTTCTTTCCCGCTGAGTGCAAGAGGCCGATCCACACACACACGGTCGAGGGGTTTGCTTTATTGCCAGCTGTGCATGGAAGGGCGTGCTGGTTGGCAATCCCGAAACCTTAGCAAGGCAATTCGAGCCACAAGTGCCTTGTCTGTCGGAGCCTGGGACATCCCGCGGCCACGGCTGGCTGCCCAGGGCGGTGGCAGCGCCAGCTGCGGGATGCAGACAGGGCTGAACCGCGGGGAGGCCGCGGGCAGCGGGGCCGTGCGGGAGCTGTTGGCTGGGGCCGGTTGGAGCGTCTGGGAGGGGAAAGCGGGGGAGCCTTGTGCTGGGCACAGCCGGTTGCAAGTAGTTGCAGCCAGCCGCGGCCAGTTGTGTGCCCCCTGCGCTGCTGTCCTCGGGGCGCCGGGAAATGGCCCATTGTGACAGCGGCGGCGCGTTGCCGGGCCCTTTGTGATGCGGGGCCTCCTTGGGCCCGCGGGCCATTGTGACAGCGCGGGGCCCCGCCCTGCCCGGGAGGCTATTTAAGGAGGGCAGAGCCCTGCAGTACCCTCTTTCTCCCAGGAGAGCATCTGTCTCAGGAGGCAGCATCTCTCTCGGGGACCTCAGTGGCAGAGGAAGTAGCCGACGCGGAAGATGTGGACGACGAAGAAGTCCACCAACTTGCAGCCACGCAAGTGGCTGTCGAGCTGGCAGAGGAAGCACAAGGTGAAGGATGGGGGAGCAGGGAGCTGCCTTGGGGCCAGGGCTGGGCTTGTGGGCACGGAGAGGCCTGCCGTGCCATGGCAACCGCCTCCCTCTCACAGCGCCTTCTCCTCCTCCTCCTCGCCGCAGGTGGACAACTGGCAGACGCAGGCAGCAGCGCAGGAAGAGGAGAAGAGCGCCTCTTCTGCTGCTGCCGTGGCTGAGCAGGTGAGAGCAGCAGGGGCAGAGAGCCAGGCAGCTGGCCCACGCAGCCCCAGAGGCGGCGGCCGCGCTGTGCTGGGCACCCTGCAGCGCGTGGCACGCGCCGCCCGCAGCAGGCTCGCGGTTGGGATGCGGCGACGTGGCCAGAAGCCGGAGCCACAGAGGGAGGTGGAACAAGGTAGGGAGGCAGCCAGAGCAGGAACATCCGCAGCAGCAGGGTCAGAGAGGCAGGACTCTGCCCTGCAAAGCCCCTGCTGTCCCCCCAGCCCCTTCCCAAGCCATCTGGAAGCCCTCAGTGGGCAGTGGGCCGGGGCAGCAGCGGGGGCAGTGCTGCCAGTGGCAGAGAGGGAGGACCAGGCCTGCTCCGAGGACGAGAGCCTCTGGGACATCTCCAGCCTCTTCGAGCTGTCAACGGGGGATGAAAGCCCAGAGGAAAGCTGGAGCAGTGGGCAAGAATGTAGCTCAGTGTCCCTCCCGTGCCAGGCATGGGCAGAGCCCGGGAGCTCTCAAGCAGGCACAACCACAGTGCAGGGCCCAGGGGTCAGTCTCACAAGCCCTTACACCAGGGCAAAGACCCCCACCCCGGACGGCTTTCCAGACCGCTGCGCCCTCAGCCCCTTGCCAAGTGACCTGGAAGCTCTCAGTGGGCAGTGGGCAGGGACAGCAGCCAAGGCCGTCCTGCCAGTGGCACCGACCGAGGATGGGGCCTGCTCCGAGGAGCTCTCAGACATCTGCAGCCTCCTAGAGCTGCCCCAAGAAGAACGCAGCGGAGACCAAAGGTGGAGGAGGAGAGAAAAGAGGCTCCCCGTGCCCATGCCACGGGAGGCATGGTCAGAGCCCTGGGGCCTTCAAGCGCCCACAGCGACAGCCCGCGCCCCAGTTCGCCCGTGCCTCAGCAGCCCTTCCACCAGGTCACAGGCCCCGAGCCCGGACGCCTGCCCCCCCAGCCCCTCGCCAAGCCAGCTGTCAGCTCCCAGTGGGCAGTGGGCAGGGCTCCCGCACGTCTCCAGGGAGTCCCGAGGGCAAGAAAACGCAGACCCACCGCTGTGCCCGGAAGAAGACAGCCACGAGGAGGAGCTGTCAGAGAACAAAGGGCAAGGCGTCCAAATATACACCATCTGGGTCAAGCCCTCCTTCATACCGGTGCTGCTGGAGCCTCAGCCTGCTGGCCAGGAAGGGCCCAAATGTCCCTGCGTCATCTGCGCAGAGGCGGCCCAAGAGGCAGTCGGGGACCCGCGCGGCACATCTCCCGCCCCGGCGGGTCCCAGGCACAGCCGGCCAACGGCTGCTGCCCCGCAGCGCCCCACAGGCTGCTGCCCCGCCGTGCTGGACACGCTGCAGCGCACGGCACGTGCCACCCTGAGCAGGATCGCAGCTGTGATCCGGCGACGGGGCCGGCGGCCGGGGGACCAGCGGCACCCGGCTCAAGGCATGGACGCGGCCATGCTGGCAACAGCCCCAGCGGCAGGGTCAGAGAGCCAGGCAGCTGCCCTGCGCAGCCCCTGCCGCCCCCCCAGCCTCTCGCCCAGCCAGCTGGAAGCTCGCAGGGGGCAGTGGGCAGGGGCAGCAGCAGAGACGGTCCTGCCCCTGCCACAGAGCCAGGAGGGGGCCTGCTCTGAGGATGAGAGTCTCTGGGACATCTCCAGCCTCTTAGAGCGCTGCCAAGGGCAAGAAAACACAGCCCGAAGCCGGAGTACTGGCGGAGCAAGTAGCTCTGGGTCCCTCCCGTCTGAGGAGTGGGCAGAGCCCTGGGACTCTTCCTCAGCCACATCCACCTCCACCTCCACGGACTGAGCTGCTGGGGGCAGTTTGGGACGTGGCCTTACCACCTGCAGCTGCACTTGAAGGAGGAAGGCCTTTTTCCAACGAGACAAAGCCCAAAGAAGAACTTCGGGCAACTGCAGGCCGTCAGGGGGGCCACTTGCTGGGAGGACGACTTGCTGGCGTGGGACAGACAGTCTTTGGAGCGCTGGCGAGTCGAGCCCTCACCTACAGCTCTCTCAGCCCAGCGGCCCTCTCTCTTCAGGGAGGCACTCCGGGCTCTGGGCAGGGCGTTCCGCTGGCCCTGCCTGGCGGGATGGGATGGCGGCTCCCAAGCTGTGGCGGTGACCAGACTGACATCCACCTGATGGCCGGTCACCAGTGGTGTCGCCCAGGGCTCAGTGGTGGGGCCAGTCCTGCTGGTCTCTTGGCTTGGATTGCCCTTTGCCCAGTCCTCCAGGACTTCACCTGACTGCCACCATTTCTCCAAAACCATGGGCAGTGGACTAGCCCCTTTGTCTGCCAGCTCCCTCAGGACCTGGGGATGAACCTCAGCGGGTGCCTTGTGCACATTCAGGTTCCTCACACGCTCTCCAACCTGATCCTCTGCTGCAGGGGACTTGGGCTCTTCTTCTGCCAGTCCCTGCCTTTGCCTTTCTCCACCTGGGCGGCGTGGCTGGAGCGCTTGCTGTCCAAGGCTGAAGCACAGAAGGCATCGAGAGCCTCAGCCTTCTCTTTGTGCCGGACAGCCACGTCTGCCAGTTCCTTCTGGAGAGGGCCCACCTTATCCCCAGTCCGTCTTTAGCAAGATAGCTGTAGAGGCCCTTCCTGTTCTCCTGAAGAGCTCCGGCCAGACTCAAGTCGAGCTGGGCCTTGGCTTTCCCACCCTTGTCCCCAGCTTCCCTACCCTTGTCCCCATCCTCCCAGGCCACCTGTCCTTGTTTCCATTCCCCGAAATAGGAAGAAGTCCCCTTAAGTTCTTTAGGTTAAAGTAGGGGTAGGGAAGAATTAGTCGAGTTAAGTTGCGTAGGATAAAGTAGGGCTAGGTGTTAGCAGTGCTCTCCACTGGAATTTCAGAGGACAAGCTAAAGGCCGCCTCATGCTTTCTAGTCCCGTTTCATGACCAAAATGACAAAGGGTGCTTTAGCATGGGCGCTGACCTAGGAGAGCCTAGTATTTAAGATAGACTTGTGGAAGTTTAAAATAAAGATTGGTTTGGAAAGAAAAGGGTCAGGAAGCTTGTGTTTTGAAAGCGGATAATATTTCGGGGTTGGGCTAGGACTTGTTCCTTAGGCAGCTGAGCTGTGTCCCTTGGCGCGGGTGTGTGCAATAGAGCTGTCCCGGAGGCTGAAGGCGGCAGAGGGACGTCTGTAAGCAGAGCTGGGGAGCAGCCAGCGAGTGGGTCTTCCCTTCTCGGAAGTAGAAGTTAGTTTTTCAGGATCTCCCGAAGTTCGTGTGTTGCTGCCCTCCATTTTAGAAGGAGGAGTTCTTGGAAGCCGTGTCTTGCGGGGCTGGGCCGCTGCTAAAGGACAACAGAATATGTAGATGCCTTTCTTGAAATAAAACTAGTGGTTTGATCCACAAGCAGCGCTGGTGGTTCTTTTGGTCAGGCTGTAGTCCTTGATTTGGGGGCAAGAAAGCCTCCTGAAGACCCAAGCCGTTGAGTTGCTGGGGCCGGCGTGCGTTGGGTGGGGCGAAGGAGAAGGGCGCTGCCTGGGGCGGGAGGGATGCGTGGACGAGAGGGGGAAGTCCTGCTGCGGGCTGGGGCAGAGTGGCCCCGCGGGGCTGGGCCTGTGAGTGGGGGGATCCCGGCCGGCGGTGCCGGAGGGGGCTGAGCAAGTCAAGTGTGTCCGTGTGGGGAATGGAGAGGTGGAATGGCAGGAGGGTGAAAGGATGCCCTGGCCCAAAGCAGCCCCTTGGAGCCTCCTTGGCAGGCTCTTGGAGCTGCTGCCTGGAGCAGCTGGAAGTGCGAAGCAGCCCGGGAGCACTGCGCCACAGCACAGCCCGCGCAGCCCCTAAGCCAGTCTGAGAATGGCTGGCACCCTGGAAGCGCTGCCTGAGGGGTGGCAGTGGCCACAGGAGGCCAGAGCAAAGAAAAACAGCACCAGGCGGCCCTTTGGTGCTGGTGGCTCTGCCCTCTGGGGATTCTTGTTAGGTGGATCTCCCCTGGATCTAGGAGTGCTAGCTAGGATGTTCTATCCTCTGGTTACTTTGTTTCCATCTGCATGCCGCTAGAGCTGTCCCAAAGGGGAAGAAAACCCACAGCCAAGCTGGAGCACTGGGCAGGAGGGGAGCTGAGTTTCCTTCCAGCGCCAGGCATGGGCAGAGCCGTGGCACCTTCAACGGTGCAGCCCCACAGTCAATGGCCCAGTTCTCCCATGAGAAGCCCTCCCATCTGGGCAAAGGCTCTGACTCCACCCAACTTTTCCTGCTGGACCTCCAGGCCGTCGCCAAGGCCATTGGAAGCTCGCAGTGGGCAGCGGGCAGGGGCAGCAGTGGAGGCAGTGCTGCCAGTGGCCCAGAGCCCCCAGGATGGGGCCTGATCGCAGTGGCTCTGGGACATCTCCAGCCTCCTAGAGCTGTACCAAGGGCAAGAAATCTCCGAGCAAGCGGTGTGCCACGGGGAAGAAAGAAGGAGAAAAAGCTGTCCCAGGAAAGCAGGAAAGCCAGCCAAGGGCACGCTGTCTGGGTTGGGCCCTTGTAGCCGTCAGTGTTGCTGAAGCCCCGCACTGGTTGCCAGGAGGGGCCCAGTTCCCCCAGCAGTGTGGGCAGAGAGGCTGAGCTGCACAGCACGTGTCCTGCCCCCGCAAGTCCCCAGGACCGCCCTGTTGTCCCAAAGCGGGTTCTTTCCCGCTGAGTGCAAGAGGCCGATCCACACACACACGGTCGAGGGGTTTGCTTTATTGCCAGCTGTGCACGGAAGGGCGTGCTGGTTGGCAATCCCGAAACCTTAGCAAGGCAATTCGAGCCACAAGTGCCTTGTCTGTCGGAGCCTGGGACATCCTGCGGCCACGGCTGGCTGCCCAGGGCGGTGGTAGCGCCAGCTGCGGGATGCAGACAGGGCTGAACCGCGGGGAGGCCGCGGGCAGCGGGGCCGTGCGGGAGCTGTTGGCTGGGGCCGGCTGGAGCGTCTGGGAGGGGAAAGCGGGGGAGCCTTGTGCCGGGCACAGCCGGTTGCAAGTAGTTGCAGCCAGCCGCGGCCAGTTGTGTGCCCCCTGCGCTGCTGTCCTCGGGGCGCCGGGAAATGGTCCACTGTGACAGCGGCGGCGCGTTGCCGGGCCCTTTGTGATGCGGGGCCTCCTTGGGCCCGCGGGCCACTGTGACAGCGCGGGGCCCCGCCCTGCCCGGGAGGCTATTTAAGGAGGGCAGAGCCCTGCAGTACCCTCTTTCTCCCAGGAGAGCATCTGTCTCAGGAGGCAGCATCTCTCTCGGGGACCTCAGCGGCAGAGGAAGTAGCCGACGCGGAAGATGTGGACGACGAAGAAGTCCACCAACTTGCAGCCACGCAAGTGGCTGTCGAGCTGGCAGAGGAAGCACAAGGTGAAGGATGGGGGAGCAGGGAGCTGCCTTGGGGCCAGGGCTGGGCTTGTGGGCACGGAGAGGCCTGCCGTGCCATGGCAACCGCCTCCCTCTCACAGCGCCTTCTCCTCCTCCTCCTCGCCGCAGGTGGACAACTGGCAGACGCAGGCAGCAGCGCAGGAAGAGGAGAAGAGCGCCTCTTCTGCTGCTGCCGTGGCTGAGCAGGTGAGAGCAGCAGGGGCAGAGAGCCAGGCAGCTGGCCCACGCAGCCCCAGAGGCGGCGGCCGCGCTGTGCTGGGCACCCTGCAGCGCGTGGCACGCGCCGCCCGCAGCAGGCTCGCGGTTGGGATGCGGCGACGTGGCCAGAAGCCGGAGCCACAGAGGGAGGTGGAACAAGGTAGGGAGGCAGCCAGAGCAGGAACATCCGCAGCAGCAGGGTCAGAGAGGCAGGACTCTGCCCTGCAAAGCCCCTGCTGTCCCCCCAGCCCCTTCCCAAGCCATCTGGAAGCCCTCAGTGGGCAGTGGGCCGGGGCAGCAGCGGGGGCAGTGCTGCCAGTGGCAGAGAGGGAGGACCAGGCCTGCTCCGAGGACGAGAGCCTCTGGGACATCTCCAGCCTCTTCGAGCTGTCAACGGGGGATGAAAGCCCAGAGG